CTGTCAAAAACTCTCAAAGTTTCACATTTTTTATATATTAAAAAAAAGGACTTCAGTTTATGTTTACAAAGTTTTGGTAAAGAAAAACACATTTTTCATGTCAATGACCCAAATAGTACATTTTATAAAAACTTGATTGCCAAGTTTGCAGATAACTCTACATTATGTTCATTACAACCCCTTTTTCCATATAAATACCCATCCCAGATCATAGCCGATGTGATATTTCCAGTGGTGGACAGCGCTAATCCAAATATTAGCTCCACAATTTCTAAAGTGCTTATGCCATAGAAAATCTAGTGGAAGTTAATTTTAAAGCACAAGTTCAATTTGACACTTACTATCTGGCATTAATTCATGTACAATATATGAACAACACTGCCAACTTGCGGCGAATTTACTCTTTTACAACTTAATTCTACAACTGCCGATTGCAGGGGATGTGATTTCCTGAAACAGACCTTTAGCTCCTGGTGTAAAAATTAAAAAGTTGTTGAGGATTGCTAGTTCGGCTGCTTCTTTGTCTTTTTCTTTTGTTTGTTGTAGATTTTTCATTAAAGAAGCATCAATAAAGTAATTTTAAAACTGTTTATTGGAAAACTGAAGCAATGCATTCTGGGTACATGGTGGATTTGATTTGTGACGGGAAACGAAAGCACGGAGTAAAGAAAACTAACTGCGAACTTCAAAATAGCTTGGGTTTTAAAGTTTTCCATGTAGTTGCTCCAGTTGACCACTAAATGTCAGTCTTCACCAGCATAACATCCTTAAAACACTTCTGAGTTTCTAACCGCGTTGGCCAATTGGTTCGACAAATTATGTCATGTATTGAGCTCCAGCGTTTAAACTGTGTTTTTTTTAAAGGAGCTCCGATTGTAAAGTAAAAGAAATCAATACATACAAAATTTTAGTATGGATTACAAACATTAAATGTTTTTACTTGGGACAGGGAGTTCTAAACATTGCCTTCCTGCTACGTAAGCAGACACAAAGCATTGTGGGAAATGAGAACCGTGACCGAAAGCACCGGTCAGCAAGGATGTATACCTTCACAATAAGTGTGTTTATCTGGGAGGGGTGCTGTTGGATAGATCACATGTGTTGTGATTCATTGACAGCCATACCTTCTGCTGTTCAGGATAATGATGACTAATAGATACTTAGTTATTAGTGGTACTGCATTTTAATTTTAGAAAGCGCAAATCCGCTTATGAATTATAAAATATAGTAAGACCGCTAAAGCACAAACGAAATATTTCGGTCCGCAATTAGTGGATTTGCGCTTTAGCGGGCTGGTGCCCACCACTGGCTAGCGGTGCTCAACCGTAGCAAAGAGGAACACGATGTTTCACGTTTAGTCGAAAGTAAACATTAAACCAAAGTTAATTAAAACTGGCCCTTTGAGAGCCACCATGACGCTCACGTGGCYCTCAGTGAAACTGATTTTGACATGCTCTGATCAATACGGTCATCAAAAAGCCTGTTCCAGAACCTTTGTTTTCCTCAAGTCTTTCTGTCTGTAATATAACATTTCTCAGCTTTAAACCAAAAGCAGAGTTTCTCCAGTGGTGTTTTGTTGAGTGGATCAGTGAGGGTGGAAAGAATTAAACAATGAAAGGAAAAAAGTCAGTGCTGAAAGAGGAGAGATGACATAAAACAAGGTCACATGCCGAAGTCAGTTCCACAACATCTGGAAGACATGGCTGCAGGGTGGGAAATAACCAGCAGCCACTCTCTGGCAGCTTGTGTTTGTGTCTGGTGGTCTTGTCTACAGAACCATTCTTCTCTGGAAGCTGGCTCGCTCTCCTTTGGACTTYGGTTCTGCTCTGAGTAACACATTTGGCTGCTGAAGTGAGGACAGAGGTGATGAATTCRTAGCTGACAGATGAGCCGACTTCCCTTATTTTTTGCACACATTTGAACGCCTCATGGATAAGCCGCCCAGTAAAAGTAAGCTGATGTAAAAAACAACCCTGAACGCCACGTGACTCAGTAAAAACTAATCACATCCCAGTCCTGCTGAGCTTTTCCTGACAATTTTCCAAGCTGGAAGATGGAAAGCTGAAGGCAGACAGAAGACACCAGAGGACTGTGGGGAAACAAAGAGCTGTGGGATTGTCGTTTGGATTTTTCCATCACAGGAAGTTTAAAAGGCTTCTGGACCAGGAACTCTATTTTCATCTCAACAGTGATTGTGATTCGTTTCCCATCCAAGTCATCTCCACTTTGGCATGCTTCTCCTCCTGCATACTTTGTCCTACAGCTGCCATTGTAATTTATATTTCTAAAGCTCCTGTGCCAAATGATGGCTATGCCTTTTGGTGCCTGTACAACTTATTGTTTTTGAAATATTATTTTTAATAAATTATAATGGGAGTCAATGGACCTTGTATTGTCCAATACAACAGAGCTACTTCATGGAAGAAGAACCTCAGCTTAGCCTGTTAGCCTTTGCGCTAGCACCGACGCTATATTGNAAACCTCACTCATATCCAGAATTCTGGTGTTGTATGGTTTTATTCTTTCTACAAACCATTTTATTTAACAGTGGTGGTTTTAATATCGACTTCAGTTTATTGAATACGTATTTTTCTTACAATGTTATTGTCAAGGTTTGAAATAAATATTTTAAAACTTTAATCTGAAAGCTGCATTCCTTCATGACTGCAGGGTCTTTAGTTCTGATATGAGAACCCCCCCCCCCCATTTCTGTCACTGCTGCTGCGTCACCAAAGCAATGAACAACCTGCAGCTTGCAAGTTGCTGTGTGTGTGTGTGTGTGTGTGTAACCACCAGAACCTCACTATGACTTCACTCAGGAGACAAATCATCACAGAGCAGCACGGTTATGAAAAACGTCTGTGTGTAGCTCTGTTAGCATGTTAGCTCTGTTAGCATGTTAGTTCTGTTAGCATGTTAGTTCTGTTAGCATGTTAGCGTGTCCATACAGGTAGAAATGCTGCGTCAAGAACTTTGTTTGCCATCAAATTGCTGCACTGTGAGCTATTTTAACCCTTGTAAATCAAACTGACTGGAACGGTGTGCTGAGGTTTTTCCCAGCTCCGTCAAATCACGACAAACATTTCCATCGAGGAACATTCCTTTAAAGTTGTCTCAAGCTGTTGTGAAACACACACACACACACACACACACACACACAAAAAAAGGAACAAAACTCCCAAAAGTTTTGTCTCCATAAACCCCTGGATCCTCCTGGATGCAGAACTTCCGGACGTGTTTCAGGTTTAGAGCAGAGTTGTCAGCTTCAGGTAGGTGTTGTAACAGATTTGGTCTTACCTGTGGGGTTGCACCTGCCCAGCTGGCTTCTACCAGGAGTCCTGACAGGAAGTGTCCTCATGGGGCCATCCTGTCAGAAAACACAAACACAACATGAAGAAACACAAACCAGAACTTAAGTTTAGACACCGAGCTACAACCTCGCCGAATTTTAGCCGATTTTCCGCAAAATTGGTGGAGTTATAAACATTTTGGTGTTCGCTAAGTTTAATTAGCTCTTGAACCTGGTCGACGTTTATTTAATTGCCGAGATCTCCATTAAAATCCATCCTCTGGTTCCCAAAACAAACGAACTGGTTTTCTGGCTGCAGGCAGTAAAACGTCGTATAACAGCAGGTTGGATGTGTCTGAGTGGAGTTCTCCTGTAATTATTCTCTAGAATACTTTCTCATAAATCAGTCAGGTGGTTTTATAATCATGTGTTTTGTGTTATAATCAGGAGCGTCTGAGTTTGAATGTTTCTACGGAAAGCTCAGAGGAAACGATGGAGGAAGAGCTCACCARAAGTGTGGGATCAATTTTTTTTGTCGCTAACAGACAACAAAACACAAAAATAAAAGTAAAACATTACACTGAAAAAAAAAAACAGAATTTTATCTGTTTAATTATTATTTTAAATTTTGAACAGTTTCTTTTAAATTACACAATGATTTATATATTTAAAATATTACTAAATTAAATTTATTAAGAATGTATGATGTGTTTAGTAAACGTATCGAAGGATTCTTGGTGTTTTATTCTTGGTTTCTATGTCAAATATGGAAAAAGTTCAGGTTTAAGTTGTTTTTATTCAATAACTGATTTACTTTTTTTTTTTTAGGATTTAAATAAATAATGATTCTTGATTTTTTTCTTTTGAAATCAGTTCGTTTGTCCTTCAGTTGGGAGTTTTAGCCTAAAGATCAGGTCAAATAATGAGAGTCTGGCCGTTTTAATCGTTTGCTTTAATTGTTCGGAGGAAAACTCCCTCCCTAAATGAGAGTTTGGAGTTAACTACGTGGGCGTTCCTCGGCGTGTTTTTACTTTACTCCCCGGAGTTATCGAGTAGCTAACCCTGATTGTTCCCAGCGTGCAGCAAACATCTCTGGAATTTTAAACCTGGGTGGATTTGTCCTTTAAAAAGCGAGTTTGTTGGGAGAAGCGGAGCGACGTTCGGTGATGTTTTCACTCTAAAATAATCCAGTCGTGGGAAATCTTGTTAAGATCTCTGGCTCTCTATGTCTAAAATAAACTTTAAAGGAAGTCGGAGCAGTTGGTGTATATTGGAAGTTATTGTGTGCTTATTGTGCAGAGAGGTGATAATTTTGCACCTGACTGGTACGAAATGACCAACTTAGACAACAATTAAGCAATTAAACAATTTAAAGGGATCCATGATTAGTTGTAACATTAGACTTTATTTGATAAACATTTATTTTAAATGTTAAATAAAGTCTGTAAAAATACAGTTTAGATTTGTAAATTTTT